CCTTTTGAATTTTCAATATTTCTGCATAAATATGACCTAAAATGTGATCTGTTTTCCACACTTTATCCTAAAATGAGATAAAGGGAACCCAATTAAGCAAATGAGTCAAAAACATTATATTTGTTCACTGATTCATTGAGGAAAATGATTCAAAGCTACATATTTGTGTGTGGGAAAAGTATGTGAACGAAGTTCATTTGAAAGGGAAATTTGAGTCAGGTGTTTCAGTCAATGGGATAAGGTGGGAGGTCCTGCCTTATTTAAAGAACAGAATTCTGGATACTCACTATCAAAGTCTGATCTTCATAACACAGGTGTGTCTTATGTGCATCATGGCTCAAAAAAAGGAGATTTCTGAGGACCTCTGAAAAAGTTATTGATGCTCACCAAGCTGGAAAAGGTTATAAAACTATTTCCAAAGAGTTTGGACTCTACCAGTCCACTGTCAGGCATACTATGTACAAATGGAAGCAATTTAACACTATTGCTACCCTCCCTAGGAGTGGTCAGCCAACCAAGATTACACCAAGAGCAAGGCATATAATACTCTGGGAAGTCTCAAAGAACCCCAGGGTAACATCTAAGGAACTAAAGGCCTCTCTTGCATTGGCAAATGTCAGTGTTCCTGAGACCATCATCCGGAGAACACTGAACGACAATGGTGTGCATGGCAGGCTTGCAAGGAGAAAACCACTACTCTCCAAGAACATTGCTGCCCATCTATAATTTGTGAAAGACCATGTGGATAAACCAGAGGGCTATTGGAAGAATGTTCTGTGGACAGATGAGACCAAAAATAGAACTACTGCTGCCCAAGAGAGGCACACCAGTTACTGAAAGCAAAGGTTCAAATACTTCTGCCACACACAAATATGTAGTTTTGGATTGTTTTTCTCAATAAATAAATGAACAAGTATAATGTTTTGGACTGATTTGTTTAATTGGGTTCTCTTTATCTAGTTTTAGGAGTTGTGTGGAGAACAGATCACATTTTAGATCATATTTATGCAGAAATATTGAAAATTCAAAAGGGTTCACAATACAAATATGTAGTTTTGGATTGTTTTTCTCAATAAATAAATGAACAAGTATAATGTTTTGGACTGATTTGTTTAATTGGGTTCTCTTTATCTAGTTTTAGGAGTTGTGTGGAGAACAGATCACATTTTAGATCATATTTATGCAGAAATATTGAAAATTCAAAAGGGTTCACAATCTTTAACCACTACTGTATGAACCATATAAAAATGACAACAAAATTCTAGGCAGTGAATAACTTAGTAAGCTTTATAAATCTCACATAAAAGTTATATGACTGAAATTTAATAATATTTAAATGTTAGCATGAGTGCACGCATGTGTGCCCCCACACACACTATAGCTACTGATGTAGCCTAAAAATTTAGTTCAAAGGGAAGTCCATTAATTTTATTTTTATAGCTTGTTTTATTTGCCATGGCCTATCACCTCTGCTCCCCACACCCTGATCTGTCTACTACATTTGTAGTAAATCTCATTTACTTGTTGCGATACTATTTCCCAAATTCCGTGGCACGATTCACACACTGTTGCAAGCCATGTGATGTAGACTCAGACTTAGCATGTTATATAAATCTAGCCGCTGTGGTTTGTAAACTATCGTTTATAAGAGCGAAGGAACCCCTAGTATAGATCTCTTTCTCAATATAAACTTTTAAGAAGGCCAATAATACTTCAATCCCTGGAGATAACATAAAACATAAGTACAATGCTCAAATTTCTTCAGTTAGAGCACAGCAGTGGTTCTAGTATATAAAGGCAGCTAAACAGGGAGTGGCCGGAATTTGTATTTGTTGATTCTGACAAATAAGGAAGGGAATAATGAATACATGTAGCCAGCTTGGTGGCTATAGTACTGATCTTTGGTACAGTTCATCTCTCAACTGTGATAACCTGTCCACTTACCTATAAATGGATGAGCTCCACTTACAGGAGTTGAAAGATCAGATGTAGCACCTGGGACGTAACGACCAGCACCTAAAGACAAAAGAACAGTAACAAATATAAATAAATAAATAAAGTTATATTCACAAAGCTTACATAGACATTCATAATATAAGTTTATCTAGACATTCATTTATAACAGAAAAAATATCAGATCAAGACTTCATTTTGTAAAGCCCCTATCTTAATATATTCATCCAATTCTGTTGTACTTTCTCTATTAAGAAATATCCCTCCTCTCAGTTCAGCCATTTCTTTTTCTTATACTGGCCAATCATATGCCTCTGAGGAACCTGCAAGGAGGAGGCGAACGTATATCCTAACTCCCACCATTGTGCCCTTGCAACAGATATTTGGAGGCATGCCACCCCCCACCAGGAGGTAATATTGAGTCTCAGTACCACTAACTCTTGATAAACCTGTCCTCTGTAAATTTTGCCAATTCCCTTGTAAAGCCATCCAGGTTAATTACTATCACCAGCTCTAATGGGAATGAATTTTGCAAGTTAATTACATACTATGTGAAGAAATACTTTGTCTATTCTAAATCTCTTTCCAATCAGCTTCACTAGATGACTCTTGCTCCTAATATTTAGAAAAAGGAAGAAAAACATCCCCCTCTCAACTTTTTCTATGCCATGAATGATTTTATACACCTTGATCACAATGCTCCTCAGTCAGCATTTCTCTAAGATGAAGAATCCCAATTGTTCTAGCTTTTTCTGTACCTTTTTTCAAATATGATGACCAGGCCTATACAAAGTATTCCAGATGTGGATGTACTAAGATTTGTATAAAGCCATTACTATGTTGGCAGTTTTAAATTAAACTACATATGCTATCTGTTACCTAATTTAAAAAGATTCATCTGGAGCCTTTCACCACAGTAGTGATTCTGTGAAGGAATTTGGTCCACTTTCTCTAATGATCAAATCACCTTTAACCAAAAGTCTTCTGTCCCCACCCACTGGAAGAGTATCCTCAATACCAGAGCATGTGTATTTGCCACCCAAGGATTAAGCCCCTCTTGCATAAACATTGCTCTTATTGCTAGAAATGATGTTCTCCTTCCCAAGATCTTCATTCTGACAGGAGAGCAGCTATCATTCTCAGAATGACATGAGGCAATCATATTCTTCAAGGTCTCATTCACATTCTTCTCTGCCTCACCAATGATCTCCAGCTCAGTCCCCTTGGTTTCAAGGGAATGGGCTTGTTCCCTGAAAGTAAACAGCTCATTGCACCAAGCACAGCCCACAACTTATCTGTAAATTTAAAACTCTATGCAATAAATGGGAAAGCATTCTCCTCCCTGCTGGCTGTTTACCTACATACTTGGTCATTTGGTTTCCTTCTTTAAGAAATATTTTAGATAGACCCTATATTATCCGTGAACAGAGTTCGAAACTCTGGCTTTGTCATAGAGTCACGAAATTCACCATAATAATTAGTCCCCAGAGGTAGGAAATCACAGTGTCCTTCTCCAGTTCTCCTCCCTCTCAGAACACCCATGTTCCTGCCTTCTCTCCTGATTATGAACTCCCACCTCTCTCTCTTCTTTATAAAAAGTGCTGGCTGGGGCTTAAATAGCTTATGTGTTTTTCAGAAGGATATTCCACTGAGTTCAGAAAGATCTATTTCCATTATTTCTAAAATATATATATATCATCCTTCAAATAACACTCTTACTCCCAGGGGAGAAAAAAAAAGCCCACAGGATTTCAGTGTTACTTTCTTATGTGAGAAAATTTGATATTCAGTCTTAGAGAAAAAAAAGTCCACAGGATCTGAATTGGCAGGCACTGTTTTAAAATATTCTCCAGCTTAGCCATTTTTCAGTCATTAAGGTGCCATGAAAGGCAGCATAATATATGAAGCATGACTCAATTACATTTATATTAACTGCCAAATAAGCTACTGGTGAGTAAGCTACTGGTGAGTAAAGAAGATCTTTTCAAATCTCTTTGCTGAACACCAATTGGAAGTAACTTCTATATAATATAAGGAATAGTCTATTGACTGATATAAATGAAAGAGATATGAAGTGAAAACAAAACAAGCAACAACGAAAAAGATCAGCATCAAACAATTCCTATTCCCTCAGATAATACCAGATTTATAGCCTGGTAAGAATACAGCAGACTGGAAACACCCATTAGTAAGCAAAATGATGGTAATGCCACTAGATGGCGGTCAAAGACCTAATTAAATTTGAAAGCTAAAAGTTGCCAGAGTCTAGCAAAACATCACAAGATCTGCGTGAGATCTCTTAAGATTTGGGCTATTTTTTTTTAATATATTTTATTTATTTAATATATTTATTAATATTTAATATTTATTTAATATATAAAATATATTTTAATATATTTTTAATATATTTTATTATTTTTATTTATTTTATTTATTTTTATTTATTTTTTAAAAAAATAAATGCTGGGGCTCCTGCCCTTTGGAACATTATCCCCATGAGATCATTTTGGCTTCTGGCTTTCCATAAGGCCCTGAAAATGTGGTTTTGCCAACAGACATGGGGACCCAGGAGTGTGGTAGAGCCTGTGTGTGGCTGTATTGATTGTTATTGATGGATGTTAAACTACCACAGCTATGAATTTTGTTGCATGTTTTTTTATATTGTTTTATATTGTTTTTATTGTTCTTATATTGCTATATTGTTTTTGGTGTTTTTATATTATTTTTTAATTGTTTGTGACCGGTCCAGAGTAAAATATTTGAGATGGGCAGCTATATAAATTTAAATAATCAATAAATACATAATAAATATATGCCGCCCAGAGTCACTGTCTTGTGAGATGGGTGGCTATACAAATATGATCAATAAAAATAAATATCTAAATGTCATACCTGATATACTGTGTGCAATTGTGCATTTGTCTGAAAACACTGATCCCTGGCACAGAACATTTCTATCTATATTTTTAAGCTGAATATAGGCCAATGCCTTTATTCATAAACTTGAGGACAAAAGAAAATTCATTATCTTTTCTGACTTCAGCTATATTAATTTACATCTGAGGGTATAAAAAACTGATTAAGGTGGGTTTCAGCTGTTCAAATTGTATGCATTCATGCACACATTTGGTGGCACAGCCCTTTCCTTTTTCATCTGGAATGTTCCCCTAACACTAAACGCATGGAGTCAACACTGTATATTTTCCACACTGTGAACAATTTTTTATTAACTTGGAGATGAGTCATACCTGTAAACGGATCTGTGGCAAGTCCTTCACTAGATTCTGAGGAAGAACCTGGAACATAGCGACCACTGCCTGTGAAAAGATGTACCCAACAGAAGAACAAGTTCATTATCTGATTAATTGATTGATCATGTGCTGTCAAGTTGGTGTCAACTCTTAATGACCACATAGCTAGACCTCTGGGATGGTCTGTCCTCAACCTGGCCCTCCAGGTCCTTCAACAAAGCACCTATCACTGCTGTAATTGTCCATCCCCCTTGCTGCTGGTTATCCTCTTCTTCTAATCCCAGCATTATAGACTTCACAAGAGAGCTGGATCTTCAAACACAATATGTCCAAAATATGATAATTTGAGCCAGGTCATTTGTGTCTCAAGTGAGAACCCTGCATGATCTCTTCTATAATCCATTTGTTTATTTTAATTATCCAATACATTCCATATTTCATGAATGACTTATTTTACATGATTGAACTTTTTTACAATTATGTTATCACCAGAGGTAAAATGGCTGGATTATTTCAGTTCAGAATGGGGTAACTTAAAATAAAAAATGTTACACTAGTTTTCTTTTTGTTTGTCCCTTGTTGTTGCTGCTGCTTTTAATGAAAAACCATCTAAGTGAATTTTTTGGCTGCCAAATTCTGACAACATAACTTTGTGGATGCTCAGGTGGGCACATGTTATCTAGGGGTTGCCAACCTTGTTGCATAGACAGTGAAATGGTTAACATCATTGATTAGGACTAGGAAGATACAGGTTTAAGCCCATATTAGCCATAGTATAAAAACTCATTGAGGAACTCTGGGCCACTCATTCTCTCAGCCCAACCTACCAGACAGGGTTACTGTTGTATGAAAAAACAAAAAGAGAAAGCGCTGTGTACACTCCCTTAAGGTACAAACAAAAGGCAAGATACAAATCTAACAAAGAAATCATCCTATCAAGTTTAGTTTGAGGCCTCAGGTATTTTAGAAGGCTCTTTTTATTCTCAAGAAATCGCTGCTTAATCAGCTCTTAATATTTGAACAAATTAGTGCTTCAAAACATGACTGAAGCAAAAGAATGCCAAGATCTGCATTACATATATAAAAATGAGTATGAGTTATACTCTGTCATGCTTTTCAAGCAATCCAAGAACCTTACCTGTGAAAGGATCTGAAAATTCAGTATTTGTGGGTCCCAGCATTTGCCCTTTGGTGTTATCTATTATGAACTTGGCCACTTGATCCAGGAACATGGGATTCAGATCATTCTTTTGCAGGAAGTTGTATGCTGTCAGCCATGGATCATCACTAGTACTATATGGCAGTTTATAAGAAGGGCCACCTTCATTTACATCAATAGTGAAAACATAGTCATATTCCTTTAAATAGAAGTCAAATTAAAAGCAATTATTTTCCTATACACCTTCAAAGCACACAGATGAGTACACTGAGCAGCTAGTCATTCAGGAAAAATGATTACCTTTCCTTCGAATAAAACTTTTCCAGATGTCTGCTGCGTGGCTCCAGATGAGCCAACAACATCTCCAATTTTCATCCACTTGCCTTCACTAATGCTCCACTGGTAAGCTTCAACTTTTTCACCATCTTTAATAAGTCTTGTTTGCCCATCCCTTGTACCTTAAAATATACAAAGAAGAAAATTAACTGCATGCCTAGAGAAAGTAATTTAAAAACCAACAATGATTCCCTGCATCAAAGATAAGATAATTCTGGGTGTTTTGTCTTTTTCTCAAATATAGTAGTATGTACAATTTGAAACTCTACTAGCATAGTCTATAAAGATTAGAATTTATACTCTGTAATTTTAGAGATATGAAATGCCACATCACGGTCAATCTTTGGCAATCTGCTGAAACAGATTTTAAAAGAATTCTATTCATCTATTCATAGTATGTATATCTCCTAGTTGGTGGAATGCAGGCAACAGTATGTTGGTTTGCAAGTTAATCTAGATCAGCCTTTCTCAATTAGGGTTGAGATTGCTAGGATTCCACAAGATATCATGACTGAAAAGTTTTTTGAACTTTGCACAATGCTAGCTTGCATTGGTGGAAATTGTTACATGCTATCTTTGTACACGCTGTAAAATGTGGATTAAAAGTGAATTGTATTGTGAAGTTTTTGTATTTTTTCCACTTTTATGGAGGAGTTCTCTGAGACCTGAAGATTATTTCAAGGGTTCCTCCAGGGTAAAAAAGCTGAGAAAGGCTGCTCTGATTAAAAATTCTATCTTGCACAGTATAGTGTGAGCATATTTTGGGGTAAAACTAGGCTTTGGTTATGCCTTTGGTATACCCACCAATAAACATAATTTTTTACCATTAGCAGGAAATGCTGCTTGTGGCACAGGTACAATTAAGCCTTGTAACCTACTCTATATCCCCTCTATCTTATGAAAAACCACCATGTGAAAGCCTTGACTGACCAAAGGCATAATGGATGATAGTTCTCAGTGTCTATGGGCCCATATTGAAGTGCCATATACAGTTGCAAGAAAAAGTATGTGAACCTTTTGGAATTTCATGGTGTTCTGCATTAATTTGTCATA